GAGAGAGAGAGAAGAAGAGAAGAAAGAGAAATAGAGAGATGTTGAATTGTATTGGTAAGAGTTGTTTGACATTATAAATCTGGCTTGACTGGTCACTAATGCTGGCCAAATTGGTCTTACAATTTTCTCTCTCTCTCTCTCTCTCTCTCTCTCTCTCTCTCTCTCACACACACACACTCCGTAAGCTCTTGACCCAGACAAAAAGGGCCGCTCTAAGCGATCAACTGAGACATCCACCCAGTCAGAGAGAGAGGGGTTTGGGGTCAGGGCGAGTGCCGCTGCCCGGCTGTCAGAAACCTTTAAAGCTTTCCTGGAGCTTTAGTGCAGCTTAAAATACACACACACACACACACACACACATTCGGCTTTTTCCAGACCTTTTCTTTCCTCTCCTGTGCTAATGGCAGGGCCCTACTTCTGGCAGGACACGCACATCCTCTTAACTTTGTTTTTTGATTAAAACACCCCCTCACCCCACCCTATCCCAAAAAAAAAAAAATTAAAAAAGAACCCCCAATCAAAAATGGAAAGGATCAAAACCACAGTCGGGGGCACTACTAACGAGACCCAAAAACCCATCAGTGCTGCCCCACGGCTGTTTCCCCCTGCAGCTCCTGTTCAAACACACACTCAGACTCTCAAATATGTTCAAACACACACTCTGCCGCTCAGTGTCGGTCCACAGGCCGGACAGCGGCATTCATCTGACTGCAAACCAAGACGGTGTGCAGTGAGCATACAGAAGCTTCCTCACAGAAACTTACTACAAGAAATGATTCTTGAGACACTGTTCATGATAATTTTGAGATAAGATTTTGGATTAAAAATGAGAAATTTTTAAATTCATACATGGCGGAAGGGGACATGCAGGGCATTGTAAGACAAGACAGCACCCAAAGACAACTTTGTTTTTTGAGGTGAAGGTTCACTCATCGATTTGAACAGTAAATAAAATGGCTATATGTGTGTTCTAGGCATTGTGAACCCTGGTTCCTGTCACCAACATCAACACCAAGACTAAGTCCCTTTGTCTACAAAGTTATAGAGGACATTTATCAGATATGTGATGAAAACAAGTCAAAACAAGTACACATAGAGGAAAAAGAAAAAAAAATCTATATATAAAATTGGGCTTTTGTGTTTGGTTTTGTCTGCAGCATATACTAGAGACACACACTAAAGTGCATGTATGTGATCCTCTCTTTGCTCCTTTATTTCACTGCACTCTGCTCTGTTCCCTCTGGGTCAGATGAGCGAGTGTCCAGTGACCCAGTGACAGAGCTGAGGCTCAGATATCCCCTCAGAGACACACACCTAAACACACTGCTTGTGTGTATTTACACTATCTCTCTCTCTCTCTCTCTTGCTCTCTTTCTCTCTCTCTTGCTCTCTCCATGCTTACTCTCTTTCACTTTCTTTTCTTTTTTATTTGGTATCTATCCTTTTCACTTTCTTTCACTTTTGTTAGTATAAATATACTGTCCTTTCTACCTTGTTTTGTTTAACTATCTCTTCTTCTCTGCTTTGCTCTCTCTCTTTGTTTTGTCTTCTCTTTCAGTACATATCTTTTTCGTGTCTTCGTTTGTCTTCACATTCCCCTTTCTCTCTCTCCTTCTCTTTCTACTCTTTCTACTTTCCATACGCTTTGTCTCTTTCTCCTTCTCATTCTCTTTTCAGCCTGTTCTTTTCTGGTACCTATCCTCTGTCCTTCTCTTTATCTGTCTTTACTCCTTACTCTTTTTTCTCTCTCTCTTGCTGTAAAAAATGGAATAACCCTCCCCTGTATTTGAACTTTTTATAACACACACACACGCACACACACAGAAGATATTTTAGAATGAATTTGAGTTATAGTTTGAATTTAAGTTATTATGCCTGCATTCTTGTTTTGCAGACACAAAAGCCATCTCTAAAATGACCATGTTTTTGTCATATGCTGACATTAAAACATACAGGAAAAAGTCTGAAGTGCAGACTCGAACATGTCAAAACAGAATGTAAATAGAATGAAAACATATTTTATCGTGTAAATATATGTGTAAACCATTACCTACTTACATACATAACAAAACAACTCTTGCAGTAGCTGGAAAGCTGCGGGTAACTCCAGTTTGAACAGTGCTGGAAGCAGAGGGTAATACAAACAGCCGTCAGTCATTCAGATGCTGCAGATCGCTTTGCTCCCGTGCGGCCAGCAGAGCATATAAACAGGAAAAGCGCTTGATACAACTGGAGATATTTTACCTACGGGACTGCCGATACATACAAGAACAGAAGCTTGAGGGAAAGTGAATCGATAATACACTGCCAGTAATAGGACTAGTTTCTAATATAATGTACATCAATGTAATTAATTTACTAAGAAAGAATACATACAGTCAAGCTTAGCCTGACTGTATGAGAGCTGAGATCTGTAGTTGTTTCATCTGATGCCTGAAACTTGATTCTGTGGTCTGAGTATGTCCTAAATTGTACACCACACCATATAGGCAACGTTTTTAGGCATGACATCTGCCTGCCGCACACATGTTTAACCAGTGCAGCTCAACAGCTCATCTATGTCAGGTACCATGAATGTGGTCACATAACTCGGTGTTTAAAAGTTCACTGTTGCTCACTGTTGCATGAAAAAAATCAATAAATGTATGTTTCTTAACCAGTGGTAAATTTTTACTGTCACTGGAGACTGTTACTGCAGTAACTCTGTTAACCGCGACACGGCACAGGTCTACATGTGCACATTCACTTCCCATGTACATACTCTTGCATGCACACACAGGCACCACACACATCGCTAGAGAGCCAAAGCTGCTTTCAGAAATATTAAATACATTAAAGGAAATGAATTTGTAGTACAGAGCTTAATCCCCCATTGAAGCATCTGCTCACTGCTCCGGCCATCAGAGACATTAAAGCCCAACTTCATCTCATAATGGTACACACACACACACACACACACACACACACACACACACACACACACACACACACACACACTCACACAGTCAGAGTCATTCAGCCTATTCAGCATTTCGCTCCTCTTAATTAAGGCAAAAGGTGATAATGAAAGCGATTAGAACGAGTTTTTTAAAGGTTATTCATATACAACACCTGTTAGTCAGGAGAATCTTAATAAACCAGTTTATTAGTGGGAATAATTTAAGAGAGGTTTTTTCATGAGAAAGGAAAAATGGAACAAAAGATAATTAATTAGTGGTTGGTATAAAAAAAAAAAATGCAGACTTTCTGTATGTGTCAGCAGACTGAGCCTCCTCTTAGGAAAAAAAACAAGAAAGAAAAAAGTCTCAATTGGCTACATAAGGAGGAATAGGAAACACCACTGAAATATTTAAATATAAATATAAATAACGTTTAAAATAACATTGTGTGTGGGTGCGTATGTGTGTGTGTGTGTCTATGAGGATGTATGTGTGTTTTGTCTGTGCTGTGTGTGTGGGTGTGCTTTGTGTGTGTGGTATGCATGTTTATGTGTGTGTTGTGTGTATTTGTGTGGGATGTGTGCGTGTTGTGTGTTGCTTCCTCTCCAAAAAAAGTCATTTTCATGTGACGGAAGTCACAGAAAGGAGGTTCAATAGCAGCGTCTGTCACCTGAGCATTTGAGCATTCACATCCGTCATGCTTGCTTTAAGAGGAAGAGATAGATGAATGAAGGAGGCGGTGGAGAGAGAGAGAAAGCGTGAGCGAGACAGAGAGAGAGAAGAAAAAGAAAAAAGAGAGAAAAGAGATAGATTGCAGTTGCCTGTTTCCTGTAGTTCTATCTCTCTCTCCATCACTCCTCCAGGTTTTAAAGCTGATCAAATTTGCACTTCAAACCGACTGGCTGGGCTAATCAGCTATTATGTGTGTTCACTCATGCAGAAGGAGCATTCCAGAGACGGCTAGGTGAAATATCCTAGCACTTAGTGTGCGCGCAGACATGCACACATGCACACACACACACACACACACACACACACACACACACACACACACACACACACACACATACACCACACGTGTACTTTTGATTGGTCATATGTGGGGCCTTTAGAACAAAACTGTGATGAGGAACACAGGTAAAGAAATCTTGTTGTATGTACACACACATCTACGTGTACACACACTTACACACACAGAGACACAGAACCGCAGTGACTGAGCATCACGTAGTAAATGCAGTGTTTAAAAGACAAACGAAACAACTTGAAACGGCTGGCTAGTGAGCCTGAGTTGAGGTACAAGTCATTTAAATTTAAGGCAGAGTCTGAGACGAGTCACCAGTCAGGTCACCTGGGACAATTCAGCTAAAGAAGCTGAGCAGAAACATTAATATTCTAACAAATACAAATAACATTAATACAGTAACTACCGATTTGATGTGTGTGAGCCCAGTATTTAGAGTTATCATTTAGTACCTAGCTTATCTAATCAATCCATCTTCACATTAATTAAACAAGTGTCAGCATTAATTGTAGTTACCATGCTGCAGCTTTTTGTTCAAATGTGCTTGTGATGGAACTTAACAACTCCATGAGAGAGATCTGGAACTGAACTTTGTTCTTCAAACTAGCTCACAAGATATCACTGCCAACTGCTTTTGTCAAATAAAAAAATCCTTGTTTCTTTTTAATGTATTTAAAATTTATTTGCATTGATTCTAGGGATATTATGATTTTTAACAACACAAAATGCAGTTATTGCCAAGATCTTTGCTCAGTACTATATATGTGCAAATCATACGTGCAAAATGTTAGCGTATGTGTGTACATTCTTAATGTCTACATACACACAAACATTTTTAGACATGAATGTCTGAATATTTTTTTCACCGACAAGCAGAATACGTTTACATGCTGGAGCATGTGGACGTGAGGCGTTAAGTCTGTAAGTTGGCTCCACAGGTGAGTGCCCAGGTTGAGATGTTACGAGCCTTTGCCAGTTGGGTCAGTGTAGGATTATAGGAGCTGCTTTGTGTGTGTTATTTTTTTTGTTCTACTTACCGTTATCACTGTCGGACTTGTTCTCGTGCTCGGTGTCGGTCAGCGTGAGGGCTGAGTTTGATCTGCTGGACAGGCAGGAGTTCCTGCCAGACTTCACCCCCCTGCCCCAAAGCCTCATGGCACGTTCCGGTGACATCACACCCTCGCCCTCGGTGTCCATGTCAGAGCCGGCCGAGTATCCACGGTGAGGGAGGCCCATTTCAGCGCAAAACGCCAAACCGCGCCGGGCAGCTGGCTCACAGATGCCCAACTGCCGCAGGTTAAAGTTCTGCCCTGGAAACACACACATACATGGTATAAGTCTTGGATGATGCAGTACACCTACACACCTAGCTAAAACAGTTAAAAATGCTTTTAAAATATTCACATTATTAATAAGCAATTAGACAAATATATATAAAACTATATCAAGCACAGCAAAAACTCTTCTAGTAGAATCGTCTATTAGAAGCTGCAGTTATTGCTGGCAATAACAAAAACATGTTGCCATTATGTATTAATTATTTCTCCCTTGTAGCTCACTGAAAAGAGTGTGGAAATTTTCTAGAAACGGCAGAGTCTGGACTTTAAATTAATACTGCATTTGTGTTTATAAGAAGAGAAAGTTTTTTACTAGGAGTTGAATTTAGATGAAAAGTGTGTGTTGTGTGTCTTGTTTGGCCCAAAAAAAAACAATGCTTTTTGAAATAAACTAAAAAGTCTACACTTAACCTGTACATAGAGAACTTAAATTAAATGTAAATAGGTTACATAACTACATAATTATTCATAACAAGATGAGAGTAATAACTCTAGAAATCTAGGCGTTAAAGCTAGATTATTGTCTGAGTTGGCAGTTCACAAACTGAAATGAGCCACTATTAATTCCATTTTATGTTAAGCTAATAAAGACTGCATATGCTGACTCTGCTCTAAATTAAGTTCTTACAGCAATCTGCTTTTGGATGGATGAAAAGGAGGATAGGCAGATGAAGGGTTGGATAGAGTGATGGGGGGTTCAGGTATGCTTTGTTGCATGGTTAAGTGTGTGTTTTAGAGGGGGTTAGAGGATCGTTGGTAAAACACAAGCTGACAGGTAAATGACCTGCTGGCATCAGGGGAGCCATTTGTGAAGCACAGAGAAAAGAAAAGATCCCTGGCGCCAAAGAAAAGAAAAGAAAAATAAAGTTGTAAAATGATGGCACCAGTTCATTTTTTTCTTCAGCCTTTTTTCTGACTGTATTAACTGACCAAAGAAACTGAATCTTCTGTAAACAACACACTTCCGCCTGCTTCTGACAGTTGTGGTGTATATATATATATTGGGCCAAACACACACACACACAGACCAAAAACAAAAAATACATTGTCAGAAGCAGGTGGGAAGCTCAGAAGCTCCTGTTTCTGTATGGGTTTTAAGGTCAGTAGCTTGTAGCTCTACATCTATAATATCTATGTATAATATACAACAACATACAATAAATGCTAAATAATAAATTATACAATTATAATGAAAAAATAATATTAGTAAAAAGTACCAATATTAATGTATAAAACTCCATCACCAGCACACTTAATTTAACATAGTAAAGGATTGATTATCCAAACTATCCATGTTATCCATGATAACTACAATTAATAAAGGGGTACCATGAGGAGAGGTTTAGGAATGGTCACACTAACACACTGACATACAGAAGATCACTATTCATTGTATTATTATTATTTGTATTTATCGTAATATTAGTGTTTTTTTCTGAGCAAATAAATGCTTACTGATCAAATACATAGTTTTTTTTTTCTCAGGTGCATAAATCTTGCACAGTACTGTACAGGTGTCTGTATATAAGAATATATATATATATTCCTTTACAGGAAAAGGAAATGGACCTTGGTCCATTTTTCATGAAATTTACACACAATGTTAAGGGCAGCAGGCATTTTCAAATTATGCCAAAACGACAAAAATGGAGATACAAGGTTTTCTTTCGACATCAGCTATATATATATATATATATATATATATATATATATATATATATATTAATTATGGCTCCTGTGTTTCTTGGTGCCTCTGTTTCGTTGATTTTCTAAGTGAAAGTAAGTGAACACATCCTTTACAGAGAACACATTTCTGAACATTTTAACAAAAAAAAGACTTTTTTTGCTGCACTGAAAAACGTGCAAATGTTATTGAATATTTTATATTTTGTGTTTTATTTTTTTGCAATAAATTAATAAATAGAAAGTAAATGGAAATTGTAAATAGAAAGTAATGGGAAAAGAAATACATTTTTAAGGCTAATTATTAAAATCAGCCATATTTAATTTTATTTTCTGTGGAGGATGTGTTACCATATTTCACTTAGAAAATCAATAAAATATGCATTTTGACCAGGGGTGCTCAAACTTTTGCATATGACTGTATGTAAGTATTTATATGCAAGAAGAATATACTAAACCTAACTGTAATAAAGATAATAGATAATAAGATAAGATAATAAAGATGGCATCAACTATCTAAAACAAAAACCTAGAAAGATAAAAGGAGTTTCTGTAAACAACACTGCTTCACCTGCGCCACACACACACACACACACACACACACACACACACATACTTATATATAGGCAGATGCTTACTCAGCACTAACCCTAACACACCATGTGTGCAACAAAGAGACTATTAAGTCTCATCAGATGCTCAAATATCGGCTGTTCAACACACTCTGCCAGGTCTCAGCACACTGAAAGTGGAACTGTTATCAGATCTGCAACCACAAACACACACTCTTCTACTACACTGCCTGCCCACAGCTCTTACACACACACACACATAACACTCCACTAAACAGACACACATACACAGACCTACACATATACTCTTGAGCCACGCAAAAAATGCAGCAGTGTACCAAGCACAACTGTTTGGGAGGACATAAAGAAAAGAAAAGAAAAACAGCTGTAAGCAGAAATGTCATTATGTTAACAAATGCCCACTTAATTCTAAAGAAGCACATCCCATTCAGTGTGTACAGAAAGGAGTGCAAGTGTGTTTCAGTGGAATGAGGATGACCCACACACACACACACACATATACCTGCTATAACTTACTTGAAGATAATAAATACATTTGAAATGAATATGAAAATGAAATAAATTATATTGTTGTTTTGTGTGAATTTCTTAATTTTTATTACCATGTTTTCTGGATTCAGACATCACAAAACTGGAATTTGGGTGACCTTTCAGAAATGTTGACATTCATGAACTCCAGTCTCCAGAGCAGTGCACTGTTTGCATCAGGAGAAAAATGGCTACTAATTATAAGTCTTATTTATAACCATGTCATTAATTTTACTGATTCTAAACATTAGTTACACTCATGTCATATGCTACAGTGATTCTAAACATTATTTATACCCATGTCATATACTACGCTGATTCTAAACATTATTTATACCCATGTCATATACATCACTGATTCTAAGCATTATTTACACTCATGTCATACACTACGCTGATTCTAAATATTATTTAGACTCATGTCACATACTTTACTGATCCTAAATATTATTTACACTCATGTCATATACTACACTGATTCTAAACATTATTTATACTCATGCTGTGCTAGGCCCTGAACTACTGTAATCAGAATGTCATATGACCCACTGTGGGGCTTAATAGGTACCATTTGGAGAAGCAATGGAAAAAAAGTCAGTCTTGGCACATGACTGACTTCACCATTGGGCAACTTCACAATTAAATTCTATTCATTTTTAATTGCATTAAAATTACAGAGTTAAAAGATTATGAGTGCAATTTTACATACATACACACACACACACAAACACACATGCACAAACATACACATACTTACACACACACTGATGGGTAATGTGATACAGATGGAGAGAAGATGGCTTAACCACACTATGGTGGCTTGGCAGTCAGGCTGGTGGTTAAAGGGCCTCTAATCTGGTTGATGATTTCATAAGTATCTCCAGGCTCTCAACGTGTAAACTGGCTTCAAAGGCAAAACAGCTACCGCCACCACCACCACAACAACAACAACAACAGCGTGAAGTTCTACAACTGTGACGGAAAACTGCTTCTTACACAGAGTGGATGCTTCTGGGTCAAGTCCACTATTCAGAAAAGTCTTCCAAATGAAGACAAATATACATTACTCGCACATAAAAAGACAGTAATAATAATAATAATAATAACGCATTTTGCACCTACTGCTACAGCCTAAAACTGAACATTAAGTATGCTTTCTCTATTAGTATTTTTAAGTCAAGACTGACAGTATGTTTTTTACATTAGCTTTTTACTTTAGTTTTTATTTAATAGGTCAGCCGTGGGTGTGTCTCAGACTTGTCTTGTATATTGATGCTTAAAGGGGAATTCTTCTAAATTTTTTCTAAAATTTTAGCATAATTCAATTGTTACAATGTAATCAAAGTCATTCAGGTTGGTTTGATGCAAAATGCTACACTCTAGAGAAACATACTGAGTTAGAATTGTTGACAGTAGTGGTGATAGGAACCAGATATCTGAACTGTTTAATGACTATATAAGCTACCTTAAAGAAAATTATTACATGAAAGGTTATGAATATGCTGCACAATGGCCAAAACACTGGTCGTGATAGTTTTGAGTTAAAATGTTTGGCCTTAAAAGTTTAAAAAGTATTTTTTTATTTTTTATTTTTTTAAATAATTTATGGCACACAGGTACACATAGGGCACCAAAGAAAAACGTCAGAAGATGTTTTAATAATAACTTTGTACAGCACTTCAGTCTACTGACATAAGTTTGAATGTGCTTTATAAATAAAATGTATTTATTTACTCACTTATTTACTCCAGCTCCATTGTAGCACCATTTTGTCATGAATCTGTACAAGTTCTCAATCCACAGACTTATGAAAACACAAAGGGTGAGCTCAGTTAGTGGGAGAGTGTGTTGGGTAATATGGCACACATAGGTTATAGGCCCTGAATGACAAGGCAGCATTAGCGTGACTGATGTCTCACTGTCTGTCTCATATTCAGATGTTTTCACATATATTTTCTATATTTCCTGTGCCTATTTCCTTTTCTTGTTTGCAGATTAATGCTACACATTGATAATGCTACACATATGTTGCTAATAATAATAATAATAATAATAATGATGCATCCTCTCACCCCCTTGCAATAGTCTATTATGCTTTCTATGTAATGCAGGCAGAATATGCAGATATATACTTAAGATGAGTTCATTATTTTGCAATGAACACTGTTT